ATTTATTTATTTTTTAGGTGAGGCGCCCCTCGATTGACCTCACAGATTACAAAGACTTTGTCAGCTTACAATCCCTTATTTTTTTATTTTTTTACGACTACAGCACCTGGTCTTCTTAGGTGGTCTCCCACCCAAGTACTAACCAGGAACAACCCTGCTTAGCTTCCGAGATCAGACGGGATCGACAACCATTTCTATTTTGAATGGGAAAAAAATGGTGTGTAAACATTTGATGGTGAGTTGTACTATCATCACATACACACATACACACACACACACACACACACACACACACAGATTTTGAAAAAAAAATACTTTGAGCTTATTGCTTTTAAAACACAGATTTAAAATTTAAAAACTGATTGAAAAATTTAAAACCAGAAAGCCTATTCGAGGCTAGCAAAACCTTTCTTGGTTTTTCTCATCCTGGGAATTCCAATTTAGTACTAACCTACCTGTGCAGCAGTTAGTAAACAATTCAGCTACAGGAACTAGGTGTTATTGTGTAGTTCCAAGGCCTAGCCTTGTGTTGAGTACATAGTGGGTGTTCATTATAAATGGAAAACAAAATTTTTTTAAAGAGGACTGAGATTTAATAAAATTCTCTTGGGCTTTGGAAGTTTGTTGTTTAATTCTTTTAGGCTCCAATTTATTTCCACCGCTTACGTAAACAATACCTCACACGGGAATAGTCCTCAGGAAGTTTCAAAGTCCTCCATGTTTTATTCAATTTTATACTTAAAATTAGAATATGAGGTAGTTGATTTTATCCAAATTATAGAGATAAGCTGGCAGACGAAAAGCTGGAAACACTGGAAACTGCTCTAGCACATGCCCCCTGCACCCTGCCAGTTCCATCTGGCCACCCTCTCACGAGGAACAGATGCCAAACTCCTGATACATGGTGTTTGAAAATACTGTGGAATGTTTCCACTCGTGGATTTTACTGTATATTCTCCAGTGACTTTCGGTAAGCTAAAAATGTGACAACTCCGTTATGAGAACACAGAGTCCATGTGATTAGGGAACAGCAATAATGTTGGCACTTTCATCTAGTTATCAGTAAGTCCTCTTCCAGGACATTAAATGTCTTATAAAAATGTATAATTTGCTTGGCAAGTACTTATCCTTCAGTGAAAACAAGTGGTCTTAGCAGCAAAAAATTGCTGATAAATGACTTAGAATTGGTAATCGGTGGCTCTTGCTGGGCTGATAAAAGTCCATTTCCAGGAAAATGAAACCTGGGCTTCTTATAAAACATAAATCATCCCAGATAATGGTGACAATCTAGGTATGTACACTCAGAGTTTTCACTTCCATGCATGTGTTTATACTTCGTATCAGGCAGTTTTAAAGGATTTAATCAATCTGTCTGTAAGCTTTTAAGTGGAAAAAACAAAGTACAGAGAAGCATTTTGTCTTAGATCGTTCTGCAAATCAAAACACATACCTTTTAAAATCAAATATTCTTTCCTTGTGTTAAGAACAAATTTCAAGTGCTTGATCAGCCAGTTTATTTCCATAAGGCAGAAATACAGTTATGCAGCTGTTAGTGGAGAAGGCAGAGAATTTCCTCAGCCACCCACAATGGAAGATGAGGGGCCTTTATCCATTGGCTGGCTAATTTTACAAAACTCTCATGGAAATTTGGTGGATACACAGCACAATTCTCTATACTTGAAGAACAATTTCCAAAGAACAGATGTTTTTCTCTTAACTGTGAACGCTGGCTGACTTGTCCGTATCCTTTTTCAGTGCTCAGCAGACAGGATGTTTTTGGAGTGGCTTATCCCCTGTAACTTTGGGCTGATGTTCATTGCTGGATGGAAAACACATCTTCGGCTAGACAGACATAAATCAATACTACAGAAAAATGTTTCCATTTTGGGAAATTCCCCAAGACAAAAGCGTCTTTCGAGCTAACCGTGAGGACAAATCAATAAAAATCTGGCTACCGGTGAGGACAAATCAATAAAAGAGAAAATGGATTTTCAATAATTTGCCATAATAGTGATATGTGATTATAAGTTCCTAAAGATTTTCCTGTTATACTTTAGAAATAAAAAGTTGATTCATTTTTCTGGATAATGTCTCAGTGTTTTCATTAGGGGGTTTCTATAAAGATCTGAATCACAATAAAAAGATTACTTCAGAGCTAGGATAAAATTTTGCCTGTCATAAACACTAAATGTTAAAACCTGTGTTGCGTTTAACAACTTACACAGAAGCTTTATGCCTAGGAAAACAATATATAAAGTAAAACAGTAATTTTTCAAACTCTGCAAAGTTCAACTAATTTAGATAACACAAGCTTGGAAATGCAAGATTGGCTAAAAATTTTAAAATATTACAAATCCTATTAACATGCTAATTAAGTTTATTAGAATATTTTAATTTCCTAGCAATAGCACTTACTTTTTACTATAAATATTTCATCATATGGACAGACAGGCTCATCTTTTATTATCAGTCAAGGTTGGTATGCTAAATTATAACTTAGCTCATGTGCTCTCAACAAGTATCTCAAGGATAAATTAAAATTTCCATTAAAAAACCCAACTGACTTAAAATGTACAGACCACAAAAGTGCTATATTCATCCTTTGTGGGGAAAACAACATCAGAAATTTGTGTTTTTGTTTTAAGTATTTTCATGGTGGAAGAAAAAAACTTTATAGATAATTGTGAATGAGATAGTTAGGTAAGACCAAAAAAAAGCATTATTTCTGTATCATTAAATTTCCTAACACTTGCTCTTCTTTTAAATTAATTATGAGTTGTATATGAAAGGTGTAATAATCAGAAAAACACAAGGCTGTTTTTAAACTAACTTGCTCAGATGTTTCCAGCCTCTAAACCTGGAAAATAACATCGAAGTTTCAAACTGATGCCATACCTTTTCTGGGGAACACAATGGTGAGCTGTCGCTTCTGTCTTTGTTGTATGCACACACGGCGCCTTGCATGCACACCGAAAAACCACCTGGGGGTGGGGGTATACTGTACCTCAGGAGTCAATGTTCAAAGTCTTTAATTGTGAGCACCTTGAATGAGGTTCCAGAGGGGACAAATTTGAGCCATGAGGTGTCCGCAAACGGGGAGCCACATTGAAAACTGTGAAATGTCTTTGTATAAAATTATCCCCAGATCTTTACAGGATAGGTCAAACCTGCAGGATTTAAATGTCATGTAAAATGTCACTATGTGAAAAACCACTTCAGAAGCACATTGCCCACTCTTCTCTGAACCAATGATGTTTCTCTAATTGCCTTTAACCATACTATCTTTAAATGAAAAGTTTTATTGATATTGTGGTTTTGACACTTAATAGCTGTGTGACCTCAGGCAAATTCCTTAATTTCTCTGGCCTTAATGTCCTCATTTGTGAAATGGTGTGGCAGGGATTAAATGAGTTTATGTGCCTGGCACATAATAACCACTCTGTGTCAGTTGTTAATACTGGTATTAACTCATCTATTATGTTAACTCATAATGTTTGCAGAGCAGCCATCAGCACAAAATTTAAAAAATCAATTATAACACAATTCATACTTTTTCCTAAATGTAAAAAGACTTGATTTTTAAAAAAGTTCCTAAGACCCCAAGATGACTATCACTTGGCTCAGAATTATCTATCCTAAGCACATCTGGATTCTTTCCAGCTTTAAAATCCACCTCCCCCACCCCCAACTAATTTCATGCACCAGGGGCCTCCTATTGCATCAGAAGTGAACTTGCAAGACTTTGTACCTGACCCTTCTAAGGCATGCCTCCCAGGCACAGGACTGGAAAGGAGATGAGTTCCTGCCAGTTAAGATGATGCTGAGTGACAGCAACAAACAGGTTTCCCTCCTTCAGGGTATTCCTCACTGCCTTCCTTCCCCCACATACATTTGATTGCTAGCCTGCAGGCACATCCCTATACTCTAAATATGTGCAAACGGATCTAAATTTATCCCTGGTTGGCTCTTTCTCTCTGGTTGGCCCTGCCCATAGCTAGAGATGAGCAAGAAGGACCCACTAACTGCCTGGGCAGTCCATTTTCCAAACCTTTGAAGGAGATCTGGAGAGAACAGAATGCACCAAATCAGTAGCTCCCACAGATCACACTCTCAGCTTTCCCATGTGAGGAAAACAGAGCTGATCAAGGAAGAAAGCTGAACTAAATTTATAAGCTACTTAGCGGGCTATGAAGCTAGAGTGGTCACTTCTGCCATCACTTTGCTATTGGTATACCATCTAGTGGTCACCTATCAGCTCTGGGAAGTTGAGAACGGTAATTTCAGTTTAAATCTTTACGTCAGGATTTAATATCAAACAGGGGGATGCTCTTTGCTTCTGCTGCTTGTCTTAGACAAGCACATGAGGGTCCCAAAGAAGCTGACTCCTGTAGTGAGTTAAAGCAGATCTCAATCTCTGGAATTTTTAATTGTAGGACTTTTCCTGGAGAAATTTTATTTTAATGTCAATATTCTAGGAGGCAGGCAAATTCAAGGCAAAAGAGTATACTAAATCACAGACACAGTGACAATGCAAATATTTAGTGCTAGTGGTTTAGTCTGTTATTTCCCAACATGGTATAGGTGGCCAGCAGGTTTCCATTTATTTTATTTTATTTTTACAAAACAAGCAAATGCTTACTTTATCATGAGCACACATGAAATTATATAGAAACACAGATGAACTGCTTGAAATGCAAATACTCTTTGGTTTACTCATCAAAATAGCCAATATAAAAAAAAAGCAAAAACCTTATCAGTTAAATAAAAAAGCAATGTTCTTTATTTACCTACCAAACCTTACTAAACATTGAAATGCATTAATTTTCATTCTCGTGTTCTGTAGCAATAGCTTTTCTTCCCTTTTGTCCTTCATCCCCCTAAATTATTTTGATGGGATCATCTCTTAAATAAAGATTGTCTTATTTTTCTTAAAAACACTTACTTTTTATTGTCCCAATATCAAGAACGACCTAGATTTTCTCTTTTTCTCTTACATTTGAAATGGATATTGAAAATGGAGACTCCATCAGCACATTTTTCAAGATAACATGAAAGTTAAGCCCCCAACAAGCATTTCAAGGCAACGTCATGTGACTGCATTTAGGGGAATTATCATGCTTTGGGAAGCATCACTGTCAGTACTGAACTCGATTCCAGAAGCATATTCTTATATTAGGCATTATTCATTATGTCAAATACAGTTGGTTTCCACGATATTAATTTCAGAGAAATAGTTTTCTATTTTTCTGAAGGTTCGAATTTAACTGTCTTAATTCTTGAATGTCTTAATTCTTAATTAAGAGTTAATTCTTGAATGTCAATGACAAAAATCTTTAACAAAAGAATCTTTAACAAAAAGTAGACTTGAAAATGGAATAGTTTCAAAAGAAGAAATGACAGCAAGAGAAATTTCTTGGCTTTTTAAAAGACGTACATATACAAAGTAAGGACTAAAAGTGAATCAAAATACATAACCTGTACACTTTAGAAATATCCAATGTGCCACCAGCATAACTGCCCTAAAAAAGATGTCTTGAGGTTTGGAGCCATACATACTTTTCTCTGTATAACTCTATACCTGCATTATGCAATCAAACATCTTCCCGATGATCTGTTAAACCTTAGGAAGCTTTTAACTACAATTTTTGGCAATGTGCTTTTCTTCAAATAAAATCAGCCTCATAAAACATTATCATTAATGTCTGACAATCGAACTGAGCAAAGTCTTTCTGAAATATGCATAAACCTTAAAAAAATTCTTTTTTTCCTTCATAAATCAACCGTGCTCCATCTGCAAATAAATCATGAGCAGTCACAATCTTAATTCACATGCTCATATGTTCTCTTCATCCAGCATTTTGTTGATACCATCACAAAGTTTTTGTAAGTGGGGTTTAAAATTTCCAAAGGGATTATACAAGGCCGCCAAAAAATCACAATCTGAAAAATGATCAAAGACATTATTAATCCGTCCGTGTGACTTTGTGGTGAGGTGACGCTGAATGATTTGGTGGAGCATCTCTCTGCATTCGTTTAGCAGCCTGGATAACACATTCCGGTCAAAGGTGTAATCCACCTGATGGAAACTGACCACGGTCATAGCAAGTTGATGAACCTTCTTCTTAAATTTCTCCATCAGGGCTAACTCATCTTGATTAAACTGGTTATTCCTGTAAAGAATGGCCAGCTTAATGACTGTTTTGATGAGGTTTTTGATGATTTTCTCTGCCTCCTTCTTGTTCTGAGTGTACTCCTTGGTCACCCGATAGAGCTCATCTAGCACTTCACTGCTCGTGTCATCGATTAAGGTGGTAGCGATGGATTTGGATACCATTTTACCCAAGATCTTCTTTTGTGCCTGAACGGCCAAGTTTTTGGAATTAAAGACATCTGTGGCCACTAAAAACAAAGGACGGATAAAAAAAAAAAATCAGCAAATATCTGTGAGAGAAGCAAATTAAAAAAACAGATATTAAGGTATATATTCCTTCTCATTTTCCCACCATATGGTTTACCTCCCATCTACTGACATTAGTTTCTGTTTAGAAAGGAAATTTTTAAAAAATTCCCTACATTTCTGGGCATTAGGTTCTCATTTGTGACATTAACAGGTTACGCATAATCTTTAAAGCCTTAGGCAATTCAAGTATTTTATACCTTCTGCTATGTAGTCAATATTTTGTTTAGAAGTTAAAGGATTCAACTTATTTAAAAATAACTTTTTCTGACTATAAAAACAGTATGTCTCACGAGGCAATAAGTTTTCATGCAATTTTTCCCTAGTTTAACTTTATAAGAAATCCATCAAAAACATAAAATCGACCCGACTGTTCCCTGGGCAACAGTAACCATGAACAATTTAAAGAAACGCATTTAAATGTAAGAGGGACAAATGACAAAGCCGTGATATCGAGTAAAAAGGCAAATTCATGGAAGCAAATCAAAAGGAGATCCCTGCTTTATAATCCAGTTGCAAAAAGTCAAATTTCTCAAGACATTGGCCAGTACCTACCAATTCGGCCATCCTAACCTCCCTAAATTTCAACTCCAGAAGCTGAGTGTTAGAAAACAAATATTCCTTGGAGCACCTATTGTCACTTGCTATTTCTGATGAATAGTCACTGTTCCCTTTAAATTTGTATATACTTTGAGGAAATAAACCCACTGTATGCGCTAAAAAAAAACATGCTACATGAACAACACACTCCGAAAAAGCCGATGCTTAGAGTTTACTATTGGAAATATCAGTTAATTTGACAGAGGTTTGAGATACATATATTAAGTTGCATGTGTTAAATATCAATGAGACATTCTGTGATGTTCCTAGTTTACAGCCAGTCAGTGCTCAATAAATGTTTATTCTGCAAATGAAGTTTAGTTTTTCTCCAGAATCTTCCCTCACTCTGTGCATGCTGCTCCACTACACCTGTGCTTTCTCTCTATTCTCCAAGGTACTCAGAGCTGTAGCTTTTGAGGTCTCCATTCCACCTGTGGGTCCAGAAGCAGCTTTTCTCTCTGCATGTATCAGTGTATAAGCCTACGCCTGGGTGTTGGAAAGCATTCGGTGATGAAAGATAAAAAGCTTAGAAATACAGATATGTAAGAATGAGTCAGGGCATCAATGATATAAAATTATTTCTAGTTTGGATAGGCTAGCAACATCAGAAAACTAAAGGGCAGCTGCTCCCTAATCCAGGTTGAGGATATATAAGGAGAGTGACTCCCTCAGTGTGGAACTGCCATGTTTGATTTAAAGGCTGGGCCAAAGTAGCTCATGGTATACACTACAGGTAGCTGCAAAGGGGTTCCTGATGACCAAAACATCATTCATTAATATACAGGCCCTACACCCTGAAAGAACATCTTGATTGAACTAGAAATCGTACCCTCAAATAAATGTCGATATTTAAACGTCTGAAACGGGAACTGAAACTGCAGAAGAAGTAACGAAATATATTTTGAGAAAGAAAAGGAAAGTGAAAAAGCATGAGAAATAGCTAACTCCGTGAAGGTTTCTAAGCTTTTTTAAAATTTTCATCATTTAAGCAGTAGTCTATTTCCAACTCTATTCTTCAACGGTTTGCAAAAGAGCATATGGGTCAGTTCGCACTAAAGAACTGATACAGAAAAACATGGCACGCATGTAGTTGATATTACTATATTAAGATCAGGGACTATCTTCCATTACTGAACTTATGATACAGACTTTAACAAATGAATAAATCTAATTTATATAGAGAGGGATGCTCCAGAAAATATATATTATTTTTGTTTGGTATTTATATAATAAATAAGACACTACAAATTGATGCAAGTGAAAAAGATTATTTAATAAATAGGATGGATTCACAGTTGGCTATTTGGAAAAAATATACAGATTTAGAGTCTTACCTCATATCATACGTCAATTAAATGAAAGAAAAAATAAGATAGAAGAAAACGAAGGTGAATATTTATGCAATTCCTAGATCTCAGGATGGGAAATATCTTGAATACTTAAAAACAATGGGAAAATATCATAACATTTGTGATGACTAAATTTGACTGTAAGCATTAGGGGAAAAAAAAAAAAGCGATGCTCCAAAATTTTCAGATACACGATAAGTAACTCAGGATTTCAGGAATTCAATTTATATAAGGTTGAACAGTTATTCTCTTTTTAATCTATTACAATGTGGCACAGTCTACAAACATCCCATCTGGGATTTAGTGCAATGCTTGTTAGATCAAAATACTGTAGTAGAATGTGAAATAACCGAAACTAGAGAAAGAAGGGTTGGAAATATTCTTCTGTTCTCCTTTTTCCAAGGACTTGCAAGTTTGCACCTCTTGCAAGCTACTTTTCTTATTAAATCTAAATGTCCCATTTAACTTCAAACATAAAGACCTAACAAAAACTGTGGTGTAGTGCTTTTAACTTCCTGCAAGAGAAAGCATAAAAGGCAAGGCTAATGTCAACTAAGCAAGATTATTCCCCATTTACTGGTAACCAAGTCCAAATCAGGACAGAGAAGTTGATCTCTGAGGCTTTCACATTTGTCTCAGAGGTGTTTCAAACCCTCTTCTAGAAACACAGCAGCAGCTTCATACTCTCATTTTATTCTTTGGATTATATTGGGTATAATCCATCTTTCAAAATGAGAATGAAGCTCTTTCTCCCACAGGGAAGACAAGCATGCAGCAGATTTCTTTTCTAGTGTTAGTGAAGGCTTTTTCAAAGCCAACTAGAGGTTGTGGCTGAGAGTTGCTAGCCAAGACTGTGTGGTCTGTGATCATGAAATATGATTTTTTTCCCCTAGCATTAACTGCC